GGGTTTTAGGGTTTAGGCGGTTTAGGGTTTAGGGTTTAGGGGTTTAGGGTTTAGGGTTTAGGGTTTAGGGTTTAGGGCCTAGGGTTAGGTCCATTTGCTCTAGATGATGGGCTTGCGGCTGAAAATTTGAGGCTCCAGGCATAGTATCGAAACACTTCGAAAGACTGCGAAGACCCACTGCAGAAGACCCGCATAGCTTATGAAAGCTCATTAGATGCAAGCTGGTCCCTAAACCCTAAACCCTAAACCCTAAACCCTAAACCCTAAATCCCATAGGAGCCTTCAAACTTACCTGAAATCTCATGAATCAGACAATAAACAACCTTCTATCCCCTTCTACAACCTCACTCCGCAAATAAGTACCTAACTAGGGCTCCTTAAACTACGGATCCTATTTGTTTGTTGAACCTCAGAACCCCCAACTCCGGGTTTAGGGCATATAGGGTCTACCTTAACCTCAAATAACCTACCTTTTTAAGGACTTGTATAAGGAAATCATACTAAGGAGCCACCCTAAACCCTAAACCCTAAACCCTAAACCCTAAACCCTAAACCCTAAACCCTAAACCCAAAAGGGTCCAGGTAGGGGTGAGACTTTCGGGGTTTAGGCTTGAGGGATTCGGGGTTTAGGGCTGACCTTAACCTACCAAAACCCACTTTTTGGTAGGTTCTTATTATAAGCCCTAATATGGGATTTATAGGGAACCTACAAAAAAGTGGGTTCTGGTGGGTTAAGGGAGACTTTGTTAGGCTTGAGGGATCTGGGATTTAGGGTTGCGGGTTTAGGGATTAGGGTTTAGGGGTTTAGGGTTTAGATGCGGCGTCCTCCAACTTGTTCTGATATTGCTGCGACAGCCGCTTGCTTTCCGTCAGCTGCAGCTCAGCATCGTTCGCAGCGTTCGCAAGCGTCTCTTTAAGGAAGATGGCGGCTACGATCCTCGGATAGGCTTGGGTCATTGTATATTTTATTCCGTTGCTTGTATATACTTTATGTAATTGTATATACTTATATATGTGTATACACAAATACATATATATATATATATGGATATAAAGCCATACGGGTAGGGTATGGCTTCTTTACATGACAGGGCAGTGATGTTCCAAAACGCGTATCTGAAGAAACCCCTAAGCCCTAAATCTAGGACATTTTCAGGTGGGTAGTTACCGTGATAGGAGCCTTATCGAAGGTCTATATACCTTATAGAGGCCTTATCGAAGCCCTATATACCCTAGACTCCCCACCTGTAATTTCCTTTAACTAAACCCCTAAACCTTACACACCCCTAA